TCTCAGCTGTTCACAAGACATTAACCCTGAGCCCTCAACCCCTGAGCCCTCAACCTTCTGTTGCTTGTAGCACAGTTACAAAAATGTTTATCTGAACCATCACTGCAACACTGATAACCACTACTCCTTTGATGGCTAATTAATCTCATTTTTCTCCATCTGATAGAACACTTTGAGAGAAGAATAATTGTCTTATTCATCTCTACAGTCTTAGTTTCTAAACCAGTGACTGACGCTTAGCCTCCAAGTGCTGTTTGTTATCCCTCATGGCCTACGAATGCATTCTCTGATCTCACTTTGGAGACCCTAACCATGAAAATTCTCTTGGCGTCTTTTAAGGCTCACCAATACAGTTGGGTTTAGTAGTGGTCACCAAACGAGGCAGGTAGAGTAGAAAGGCTTCCAAGGGTCCCAGAAAAGCTCTGATTCTAACTTACGGATAAATCCTAAAAAAAACCCACTGATATACCTTCACATTTGAGGTATTGATCCCAGTTCCAATGCAATCTCTCCTAGGAGAGATTAACTCTTTAAACAGCTGTCAGTGAGTTACACATGCCTGGGAAGGTGCTCTAGAGACTACCTTAAGAACAGTTTTTGGTAAGTAGAAGGGCCTGAGGATTTAAGGTGGATGAGGCAGATTAATAAAAAAAATAGGGAAATTCCCTGGCAAGTGGCACGAGGAAAATGAAGACAAAATAGTTAAACAAATGGCTGATCAGTTAACAGCCAGCTAATAAATCATAACACCTTATCTTCCCTAACCAAGGACACTTAGGAAGAGATGGTTTACGACTCTCCTTCCCAAACAGAGAGCGAGTAGCTTAAATAAACCTGGTCAGGGAGACAGATAACAGAAACCCAGTTAGTGCCATGAGTGGCAGCCAAACCCAAGAATGGATAAAGTCAGGGGACTAAATAACAAACAAACAAACAAACAAAAAACAAATAGAGCCAGGCAAATCCAAGATGGAGATAAAGAGGACCAGAGAATGATCCCAAACCCCACTGTACACTCATTTGACACATAAGCATGGGAAAAGACATGCCTAAAAAGCTGATGAGCCCTGGCCAGTTTGGCTCAGCGGTTAGAGCGTCGGCCTGTGGTCCCGAGAGACCCAGGTTCGGTTCCTGCTAAGGGCATGTACCTCGGTTGCAGTTTGTCCCCGGCCCTGGTTGGTCGTGCGGGTGGCAGCCACTCGATGTGTCCCTTTCACATCGATGTTTCTCTCTCTCTTCCTCTCTCCCCCTCCCACTCTACCTGAACAAAAAATGGAAAAATGTCCTCAGGTGAGGATAAAAAAAAAAAAAAAAAAAAAGCTGATGAATATTCTAATTGAGACATCCCCTAAAATTCCCACTTACAGAAAACAGATAAAACCCTCAAGACAAAAGACCCAGTGCATGCTCTCTCTGAGCTCACCTGTGCCTCCCCTTCCTCAGGCATGTAATTGTAATTTTACTTTCTTTCTCCTAAGCTGCCAGGGCCCTCCCCTTGCCTAACTTTCCAGTCAGCCCGCAGCAGCTCCCCTTGGCTCACTTCTGTCACAGAGACGTTTACTTCTCAGTGAGTCCAGCATTTCAGTCTGGGTTCACTTCTGTTCCCATGACTTCCTTTCCTGAGTTGAGGCAGCCCAGCCTAGGCTCACTTCTGTTACTGTGATTTTGCTTTTTCTATCCTACACCTTTCCTTTGTTTCACGGTCCCAAACTTTAATAAACATGCTCTTAAATTCACCCAGGCTTGTCTCTTGAATTCTTTCCCACATGAAGTCAAGAACTCACACATCCCAGACTGTCCCCGGGCAGACCTGCCTCGGCTCAGTACTTGTCCTGTGACATGGGCAGCATGGAGAACCCCAAAAAGGACAAACTTCACCTGCTTTCCAGTTGTGTTGGGACACAGTGCTGCCTGAGCTTCACTTTCCCACCCTCTCCTGTCCCTTCTTCCCTACCTCCCCAACCAAATCCTGAGCTGAAAGGAAAAACGTTGGGAGTAGTGAGAAGAGGACCGAGCAAACTGCCATAGACAGCCTTTCCCTTAGTACCCAGTACCTCAGGGTTACTGAAGCCTCTGGAAAGGAAGGGTCAGGCATCTCTCCGACCAGTACTTTTGTTCTGCCAAACACTCAAGTCCAACGTCTTTTAGGAGCAAAGAGAGGTAACAGGACATGGGGTCCATAGAGTGGGGCCTCTGCTGGCATCTAGCAGAGTGCCCAAATCCTCACTTTCCTTTTGTGGGCAGACAAGCTATTTGAGAGTGGTGCCTATTTTAAATTAATCATACATCATTTTTTAAAGAGACACTGAAGAAGTGGGTTCTAAAAAGTTATCAGTCAGTCATTTGTTAGAGAAATGGCTGCCAGGCCCATTCCCACACCCCGATTGCCTTATCGGTCCTGGACTCCCATAGCGTTTGGGGATCAAGACGACTTGAGCGACACAACCCTTTTCTGATAAATTGCCCAACAACAGAGACAAGGTACTCCACTCCAATATCACATTCACACACGCAGTCCCATGGCCTGAAACACCAATTTAAGCACCAACTCACACAGACAGATCGGCCTCTAATTTTGGAATTATGCAGTGATGCTGGGGAGCAGCCTCCAGCCTCTGCACACAGCCACATTCCTTCTCTGCCTCTAGGACTTCACTGAGCAACCTTGGGAAAATCCACAACCTCCTACACAGCGGATGAAGCAAAGAGTCAGGTGAACAATGAATGGATGCTTTCATTCTAATTGTTTTTATTTTCAGCTTGGCACAATGAGGTTTTGATGAAACAGAAAATAAGGTTATGGGGAGAAAAAGTTATACGATTTTATTAAAATGCATCTAAGTGCTTACCCATTTGTGTTTCAAAATACAAGAAATTATAGTCTATGATTAATGAACATTATATGTTTGTCAGTAATTTTAACAGGTGTGAAGCAATTGCCAATTGAAAAATATATTCATGTATTTAAAATATATGAACTTGAAAGCTATTCCCCTTTTTCTAAAATGTTTTCCTATGTCTCTTCTTCAAGTCAATCGTTTCCCTGCACAAAGACATGGGAAGCTTAGGTTCTCCTTCTAAGGACTCTAGTGCTGGTTTAATTCCCTGTTTATACAGAGTACACACGTTTTATTCTGTCCTTAAGACACTCATTATAAAATTGTGTGATGGAGGGAAGGGGTTAATCTCTAAATTTCTTTATAACTGTTACATAATTTTGGTCTATAAGCATGAAACTTATGTAGTAACAGAAGTAATTGTTAGAAGAGGAAGAAGCTCATGTGAAAAGAAGGATCATGCCTCCACTTCCAGGAAGGGGAGACAGTATTGATAGAAGGAGAATGGGGACACACACCTGCTGACGTGGCTCTGTTTCCAAACAGACAAAAATTAATCATTCACTTTTCAGCAAACTCTTACCCAAATATTTCAAGGTGTTCTTCTGAGAATAACTGTTTACAGAGATTGCTTTTTGCTCAAATACAGTATAACAAAAACTCCTAAAGAGGGACTTTGCCAGCCTGCTTTGGTCCATTTCTTAGCCATCTTCTTTAATTTTTGAATCACAATGATAAATACTTCCAACAATAACTTGACCTTTGCCTGCTTATAAGCTGACATCTGCACTTTCGACAAAAGCCAGAGCCATTCCTCTTTTCCTGGAATTGTTTATCCTATCTTCTTTGCCAAATGATAGTATTTCTCATTGCTAGAGTACCTTCTTTACTTACGATTCCTGTTAAAATACTTGGCCACTCCATGCAGTCATAGAATAAGAAAGAGAGGAACCTCAGAGACCATCTGTTAACTCCTCATTTTACAGATGAGGAAACCAAGGAACAGAGAAAGAGAACATATGTATGGCCGAAGGAACATCTAACATTCCTAGGAGTAGAAGCTTTGCAATGCACCACACAGCTTACATATTCTATACTAGTAATTTCTAGAAAAATCAAAGCTAATGTTAAAGGTGCATGTGAAAGTTGCTGTAGAAGGGAAACCTACTTTGAATATTTTCATAAATTAAAAAATATTTTATTCCCCTTTTGTCTGTGAAAAATAAGTTGCCTGAAATAAAGTAACACGATTATCATTCTGTGTTAACTAAATAGTAGCTGTGCAGTTAAGTAGCTCTTTGAATACTTGAGGCTGTTTTGGGGAAGCTGGCCATCTGCTGTTCAGATAATTATATCACTTGGGTTTCTAGTGATTACATTTATGACTTCATTATAAGGTTCTTAATGACACAAAGGGAGGGTCTTGACTAATTTAAGATTTCCCTAGTTCCCACATGGTGCTGAAACGGTTTTTACTGTCCTTCAGAAACAAAGATGTCCTGTTAATGTCCATGTGCTGTTATCATTTGGTGTGCTTTCTCCGAGTAAGAAAGCCGAGGATCCCACCGCTCCAGTAAGAACGCTTAAAGAAGGGGCAACATGTTGGCAGCGTCTCTAAGATTTTCACAGCACTGGCTGTGAGTGGGTTAAGGGTGAGGAGACATAAGTGAGCAAACAAAATAAAAACACCACTCCCCAAATGCCAGTTCCAGTAGCAAAAACCTAACAAGTCCTGCTTCGTAAATCTGGCGATCAACTGGAGTACCAGGCAAAGAATCCCTAGTTTGAGCAAGCGCGGGCCTCCCCTGGTTTCGCCCACACAGTGGTCCCTTCGAATTCTACATTCCAGGCAATAGGCATGGTGCTGCCTTCTCTGCCCAGCCATGCAAAGTAAACACGGGTGGGAGTGTAGAATCTCTACCTTGCAAAAACTGCATGTTTACCTTCCTTCCCATTCCTCAGCTCCTCCAGTCGGGTCCCGCAAACTTCTCCCGAAGGAGCCCCCCACACTGCCTCTGCCAAGAAAGGGCTCCCGCGGCCAGGGAGCCCCTGGTAAAGTTACGGACACCAAGGAGGAGGAACAGAAGTGTGAACCCATCTCGGCCTTGGAACAATGCAGCAGAAAAGGGCAGGGTAGTGGAAAGAGAAGTTTTCGTTTCTCACCCGCTTCTTCCTCCTTTGTATGCTGATGGAGAGCTGGTAGAAAACGCTAAGATGTTGTTTGAACTCTTGCTTTGGATCTGCGTGTGGTCAGCGTGCGTGTGTGTACACGGGCCGGACGGGGCTGCAGCGAGGAGGGGAGAGCGGGCGAGCCCTTGGGAAGTTCGTAGAACGCCCAGCTTTTCGGAGGGGGCCCCACCCCAAGCCCCGCGGACCCGCCTCTGGAGCAGGCGCCACAGCAGCCCCCACCCCGGCGCAGCGGGAGAGTCCCCCTGCCCTCGAGAGACCCTGGAGGTCTGAGTTCGAGACACACCGTCAGCGAAGGCGCAGCCCTCTCGAATAGCAAAACGGGGGACACCCACCCCGGCTCCCAGAAGCCAGGCACTACACGGGCCGCTGCTCCCAGGAGCGACCAGGCCCCTAGTGTCCAGGAAGCGAGGCAATCCCGTCCCTCACAAGTCATCAGGCCGCATCTGCGGCGCGTTCTTTCGGTGTTCTTTGCAGAACAGTTCGGAACGCGAGAAAGTCTGTATGGGACAGAACTCTTTGCTCTAGCTCCTAGAGAAAGTAAAATAGAATTTTAAAAGTACGGGCTCGTCCGGGATTTGAACCCGGGACCTCTCGCACCCAAAGCGAGAATCATACCCCTAGACCAACGAGCCACGACAGAAACTGCCTCCCTTCTATCTCCTGTGAATTTCATTTTCCCACCAGGCTCTTCCTTACTTTTGTTCACTGTAGTGGCTAATACTTTCTGCCTGTCCTAATTTTCCTCCCCATCTTTATGAAGTCTCATGTCTGACTCTGACCCTAACCTCGGTTATTCTTCCCGATGCACGTCCTGGACCCTTCCAGACGCCAGATGGGGTGAGGACAGGCAGTCTTGCAGACTCCTGGCCACATTTCTGACTCCCATCGAGCCCGGCTGGGGTGGATCTAGCCGTGAGCTTGAGTCTGGAGGGAAACGGGCTGGAGCCCGAGGGCCCGAGCGGAACTCGCTTGCAAGGCTGTAGGATCTTCAGCCCCAGGACAGACGCGCGGGAAGTGTATCTACCGCGTTGCTACCACCTCGCGCGTGCATAATTCCTAGGGACAGGAGCTGGTTGGTGGGAAGCCAGTCTGGCTCGTGTTGGGATGTTTCAGACCCCTTGCAGTTTCCCTAAATGAGAGTCAGGTACTCCCCGCCTTTGAATAAATTGTTTTCTTGCTTGGGAAATCGTTCTCGGTCTCATCCCGAGTCACCCCAAATCCTATTCTTCCTTCATGCTCTGGCTCAAAATCTTTTCATGGAATTATATATAGATGTATATACAGCTACATTTAATTTAATATATATAAATTAAAAGGCCCTCTTTATGCATGGACGTGTGTACAGAATGGGGTCAGACACTCGGGCTGAAGGTCACAGTTAAGGGATTTGTTCCGCAAATTAATGTTCGTAAGGCCGCAGAGCATATTCGTACATTTATACAATATTCTGTACCAAAGAGTGGTATTCGGTCTCCGACATTTGGTTCTCAGGGAGCAACCTAGGATCAACCAGAAGTCGAAAAGAAATCACATCTCAGAAAGGATAACTCAGAACCTTTCCAGTTGGTTAGTTGGATTAGTTCACACTCCTCTTTTCACTGTTTAACAAACCATATGAGACAAGATGTATTTTTGAAGATGTCATACATGAAACTTAATGTCCTTAGAATAAGCGGCTAGCTCAAAACAAGAGCCTCTCCTTCGAGCCGGAATCGAACCAGCGACCTAAGGATGACCAGACAGGAAATGACTACAGTCCTCCGCTCTACCAGCTGAGCTATCGAAGGAAGCACGTGAAGGCCTGCTTTAGAATTAGCTATTCAAGATCGAGCTAAGCACAGGCGGTAGGACTTGATCCTTTGATTACTGGTGAATGGACATCATACAGTAAGCATCTTGGGAGAATGTCCTACACCCACAGTTTTGGGGACAACTCTTCTAGAGCTGGATTCTCCAGCTTCATTTGAGGGGCTTCCAAGCAGGGCCAACCGGCGCTCTTCACGGACGCGAGCGGCTAGAACACTTGCATCCCGAGGTCTCCCGCAGAGGGTGGGGGAGGGGCTCTTGTTTTCTCTTAGCGCCCGGGCCCGGGGGCTCCCTGGCACGAAGTGTGTCAAGATCGGGAGCAGCCACCCGGGCAGCAGAGAAGTAGGGACGGAGGCAGTGGGTCACATAATTCTCACAGCGCAACTACGAGCCAGGGAGAGGGGTGCGGGCCTCCTCATTTCCTCACTTCTTGCTCTCGCCTCCCAACCCTGGCGCGTGGGCACAGGCCGGCTGCAGCTTCTTTCCGCTCGCGCGTCCGTAGGCTCGGGGATGGAGAGGGTGTGGAATAGAGAGAATACGGGTAAGCGCAGTGTTATTGTGAGAACTGACTTTTGGTGAAAATATTTTAAAGTTTTCCAAAGAGAAAGCAACACTTTCTTTAAGTCAATGACAAATTCGGTGACCCTCGTCCGGACCTGAATTTCCCCTGCTGAGATACTGCAGTGTTCGAAAACCCCCCGACACGGGAAACCTTGCCTCACCCGGGAGGCTGACGCTGGCAGGAGGACCTGGTTCTGGGATCCAAGCCTGCCCAGGGCGGCTGTGAAAGCTGGATCCCGTTCCCTTTCTGCACCGCCCCATCCGGCTCCCGTGCGGCCACCCTCCAAGCTCTCGCGCAGTTTGCAATGGACTCCGCCACAACCCAGGTAGCAAAAGCAGCACTTGCGCAGTGGCACAGGAACCTAAGAGGAAGCCGTTGAGCTCCGTGAGGTTTATTCCGGAGGTCTGGACTGCGGAGACGAAGCACAGGGAGCCGGACCGAGGTTATGGCTAATAAGAATTAAAAACAGTGAATAATACTGGTCAGGCCCCAGCGAGATTTGAACTCGCGACCCCTGGTTTACAAGACCAGTGCTCTAACCCCTGAGCTATAGGGCCTCACACTTCAGCAGTGACCTTATTTCTAGTAAAGGAAGATTTTTTTGCTGGGCCTTTACTAGAGCAAAAAGCAGATAAAATCTGAATGCCATTTTAATTTGGTTTCCAACTATTGCAGTTCAGCTGCAGACTCTTGCTGGGGATAGTGCAATATGGGGATCAGTGACAGAGACCGCTACTATATTAAGACTTGAAATATATGCCCAACCCAACACAGTCTAACAGTTGAAAGACTTTTTTCTTTTTCGCAGCTGCAGATTGTCAAAATTAAGAAAGGAAACCCTGCATAGAAGAAAATTTGCCTGCCTGCCACAGTTCTCTCAGCTGAAAACGGGACATCTGCACTCGTTTTTCTGCTTAGGACATCCACCGACCTACAACTGCCTGCCTTTAAATTCCTTAGATCTAGGGACCTTTCTCACAGCTTGAGTCTCAGCGCCAGAGCAGGCATTCATTAATTCGCTATTTAATTCATCCCTTTATTCAACAAGCACTTAATTCCGATTTTTGTGATAGGCTCTGCCTTAGGAGCAAGGCATCCAGATATGGTCTTTACCTTGAAGTCACTGTCATAATTTTGTGGAATAAAAGAACTTTGGTTTTCATGAAGGTGAACAATAAAAAGTAGTTGTGCCTGGTGTGAGAGGGAGAAGAGACTGCTAAGTTTCACTAACTTAAAGAGTGAGTCATCACTGATGCAGGCCCACTGCAGGGGATGGGCCTGAGCAGCAGCACTTTGAAGGGAGATTAAGACACAAGTTTAGGGACTGGGTGATCTCTGGTAGAAGAAAAGTTAGGAGCAAAGTCTGAGAGAAATACTGAGGTGTTTAAGGGTCCAAGGCAGAGCACTGGCTTATCCAAGAAAAACGTTCTTCATCTTCCTTCCCCTGTTGCTAGTGGGAGTGGGTTTCTTGGGGTACCACTGGAATAAGCATTTCCAGAGGCCCCCACAGGAGGATGAGATAGGGTAAAAGGTCTATTTCCGTGGAATTTCCAAAGTCCCATTTCCCTCAGTCCAATCATGAAAAAAGTGTAGCTGGGGTTTCAGTAGAGCTAAAATCAGAGTCAATGTCCAGAGTTTCCCTTCATATTGGAGCGGGGTCCAGTTCAGCACGAGGCTAGCTGCAGTCTATTAGTCCACTGTGGTTGCCAAGGATTGGGGGAGGGAGGGTTGAATAAGCAGAACCCTAAAGTTTTTTAGAGCAGTAAAGCTATTCTATTTGATACAGTGGATAGATGTCATTATACATTTGTCAAAACCCATAGAACGTGCAACACCAAAAGTGAACCTTAATGTAAATTTTGGTTTGGGGTGATAATAATGTGTCAGCTCTGGTGTGGGATGTTGCTGGTGGAGGAGGTTGTGCGTGTATGGAGGCAGGAGGTATACGGGAACTCTACTTTCTACTCAATTTTGCTGTGAACCTAAAATTGCTCTACAGATAAATTCTATTTAAAAACCCCATACTATTTCTGAATTTTTGGTCTGTAATAATCTAACTTCAAAATATAAAAAGCGAAAGTTGACAGAACCAGGAGGAGAAATAGAAAAATGCACAATCAGCATTGGATATTTGAACAATCCTCTCTCGGTAAATGTTAAACAAGTAGGCAAAAATATCAGTAAAATATTGAAGATTTTACCAACACAGTAACCAATTTCTAGTATTGAGAGATAATTGGATAGATTCTTAAAGAAATTTTGCATGCAGTTTCTTATGCATTCTTCCATAGCTCAGTTGATAGAGTGGGAGACAGTAGGATACATATCCTGATAGATAATCTTATGTCTCTAATTAAGAAGAATACAAGTCTTTTGTATCCCAATTACTGTCTAGGTTATGGACTCCACTTTGTCTAAGCCCATAAAATGGACATGATAAAACTTAGACTGCCCTGGCCGGTATGACTCAATCAGTGGGAGCATTGTCCCCGTACATAGAAGAGTCATAAATTAATTTCTTGGTCTGAGCACATGCCTAGGTTGCAGGTTCAATCCCAGCCCCAATGGAGACCCAATTGGGGCACAGGTGGCCAATCAATGTTTCTCTCTCACACTGATGTTTCTCTCTCTCTCTCTCTCTCTCTCTCTCTCTGTCTCTCTCTCTCTGTCTCTCTCTCTCTCTCTCTCCTCTTTGCCTTTCCCTCTCTCTAAAAAT